CGATGGTGGTGATGATGATGATGATGATGATGACGACCTTGGAGTTGTCGGCAATTAATGATGGTGATGATGCTGATGATGATGGCGATGATGACGATGATGATGATGATTGTGATACGATCTGAGATGATGATGATGATGGTGGTGCTAATGATGATGATGATGACGGTGATGCTGATGATGGTGGTGGTGATAATCATGATGATGAGGAGGAGGATAAGGATGAGGATTAGGATGAGGATGCGGATGAGGATGACGTTGATGGTTGCGATGATGATCGTGGTGGTTGGCATGAGTTGTTGGTGATGGTGGTGGTGATGGTGATGGTGGTGGCGATGACTGGCTTGGTGGTGGTGGTGGTGGTGGTAGTGGCCATGGCTATTTTGCTTGTGATGTTGCTGGTGATGGGAGGTAGAGAGTGATGAGGAGGAGGGGTGCCGGACCCCCAGCCGAGGGAATCGAGACCGTGCGGCGGGACAATTGCGGCTTGGTGCGTCAGGCTCGGCCTTGGTCGGTCGTCATCGCCGTCGTTGCCGAGGCTCCCTGTCGGCTGGGCTCGGTTCGGCTGAGCTCGGCTCGGCCGGGCTCGTCGTCGTCGGCGCGTCATCGTCGTCCCCCCGAGATTTGGGCATTGCAATCTTGTTCAAACAGGGCATGTTCGTCCTGTTCCTGGCCCTGTTGCCATCACATATCGATCCAGCTCGAACATACGCAGAAAATCTGGTCTAGGGTCTAGGGTTCAGGGTTGCATTTTGTCCGCAACGTCAGATCTCAGGGTGATGCGCAGGGGGGAGGAAGAGTAATTTGGACGTGCATGGACATCGTGAAGGCAGGCCCAGAGGGCCTTTCCATCAGCCGCGCTCGTTTCCTCATGCTTGCTGGGGCTTCCGTGGCCCACGACGCTTTTCCCATCCGCTGCGCCTCGTCGGGCGCCAGGGATGACGGAGTCGTCGCGAACGCCGCGTGGGGCCTGAGTCGCGGCCCGAGGACCAGTTGCACTGTCAAGGGAGGAAGAACCACCCGGACCGGACAATTGGCGTTTACTAAACGGCCCTGGGCGTTTACTAAGCAGCCCTGCCCTGTTCGATTCCTTCTTTGGGCGCGCTTACTAAAGGCCTCGCGCGTCGGGGTGGTTATTATCGGGGTGGATGTTCTGCCCTCTACATTTCACCGAGCGCGTTCCACTACTCGCAAAGTGCCTACTCGTAAACGTCAGAAAAACACATGTCGGCTTTGATGATCCCCGGCGGGAGATCCAGGCCACTTGCGAGCAGTTACAGTCGGGGCGCTGAAGAAGGAACCCTTTTCGTTGGGGAGGGGCTCCGTGTTCCTTGATTGTTTCATAGCTTGCCTTAGGTTTTCCTACGATTTTCGACGGGAAATCGAAGTTCAACTTATGGAAAAAAGGGGCCTCGTTCCTTATTTTGGGTTCCTTAGGTCAAGGCCCCGACTGTACTTTGCGAGTAGTGGAGCGTGCTCGTTTGACATTGGCCACTCGGCGCTGGTGCTTTGGAGGGGTGCCCTTGTGCTCTTCGCGCGTGCTCGAACGTCGTCGTGCGCGCGGTGGCTGGGCCCCCCTCCCGTCGGCGAGGGGGTGCCCTCGCTCTCGATCGGTGGTCTTCGTGTCGGGTCGGGCGAAAGGGGGGGTTTGGGAAAAAGGGGGTTACGAAATCTGCTGCATGCAGCTGGTTTCGGCCCCGCCGCTGGGCCCATTCCTCGATACATGGGCGCCTCCCGGCGCCAGGAGGCGCCGGGAAAATCAGCTACGTGAGCTGATTCTCAACCCCCCTATCCCCCCCTTTCGCCCGACCCGATCGTGGGCGAGCTGCTGCGGCATGCATAGGGAGGCCGAGTAGGGCCAGCAGTAAGTCGGGCCTGTTCCTCTGCAGGGGGAATCTCCAAACATAGGCATGAAATAGTCGGGGGACTACGTAGGTGCGACGTCATCAGTGTGTCCGTGTCCGTGGGTGTTGTGTGTGTGTGTGTCTGTGTGTGTCTGTGTGTGTCTGTGTGTGTTGTGCGTCTGGTGTTTGTGTGCTCGTGTGTGTGTGTGTGTGTCTGTGTCTGTCTTGTGTCCGTGTGTGTATGTGTGTGTGTGTGCGTGCGTGTATGTGTGTGTGTGTGTGTGCGTTTGTGTGCGTGCGTGTGTGTGTGTGTGTGTGTGTGTGTGTGTGTGTGCTTGTCTTTGTGTGCGTTGATGTGCATGTGTGTGTGTGCGTGTGTATGTGTGTATGTGTGTTTTGTGTGTGTGCGCGCGCGTGTGTGTGTGTGTGTCTGCGTGTGCATGTGTGCGTGTGAGTGCATGTGTGTGCGTGTGTGTATGTGTGTGTGTGTGTGTGTGTGAGAGCGTGTGTCTGTGCGTGTGTGTGTATGTGTGTGTGCTTGTGCGCGTCTGTGTGTGTGCGTGTGTGTTTATGTTTGCATGTATGTGCATGTGTGTCTGTGCTTGTTTACGTGTGCGTGTATGCGCATGTGCTTGCGTGTGTGTGTGTGTGTGTGTTCGGGTGCGTGTGCGTGTGTGTGTGTGCGTGTGTGTGTGTGTGCGTGCGTGGGTGTGCGTGTGTATGTGTGCGTCTGTGTGCATGTGTGTGCGTATATGTGTGTGTGCGTGTGTTTGTGCGTGTGTGTATGTGGGTTTGTGTGTTTGTGCGCGTCTGTGTGTGTGTGTGTGCGGGTGTGTTTATGTTTGCGTGTATGTGCATATGTGTGTGTGCGTGTTTACGTGTGCGTGTATGCGCATGTGCTTGCTTGCGTGTGTGCGTGTGTGTTTGTGTGTGATCGGGTGCGTGTGCGCGTGTGTGTGTGTATGTGTGTGTGTGTGTGTGCGTGTGTGTGTGTGTGCTTGTGTGTGCGTGGGTGTGCGTGTGTGTGTGTGTGTGTGTGCGTGCGCGCGCGGTGCTGGCGCCGCCTGCGCCCGCCTCCTCTCCTCCCCCTCCGCCCTTTCCTCCGGCGCTCCGCGAGGGCGGAGTGGGTGGAGTGGAGGGAGGGCCGGCCCCGACATGGGGCGGCGCCTCCCCCCTCCGGAGCGCCGGCGGGAAGAGCAGGGGGGGCGGGGCGCGCAGGGGCGGCAGGGGGGTTGCGGGGGCGGAGAGCGCTGACCAGTGTGGGGATGGGTGTGTAAGTGCGACGTCGTCAGTGTGTCCGTGTCTGTGGATTGCGTGTGTGTGTGTGTGTGTGTGTGTGTGTGTGTGTGTGCGTGTGTGCGTGTGTGCGTGTGCGTGTGCGTGGCAGGTGGTGTGTGTGTGGCGCGCGTGTGTGTGTGTGTGTGTGTGTGTGGCTGTGCCTGCGTTTGTTTGTTTGTGTGTGTGTGTGTGTGTGTGCGTGCGTGTGTGTGTGTGTGTGTGTGTGTGTGTGTGTGTGTGTGTGTGTGTCTGCGTTTGTGTGCGTGTGCGCGCGCGGTGCAGGCGCCGCCCGCGCCCCCCCCCCCCCTCTCCACCCCCCCCCCTCAGCGCTCCGCGAGGGCGGAGTGGTTGGAGTGGAGGGAGGGCCGGCCCCGACATGGGGCGGTGCCTCCCCCCTCCGGAGCGCCGGCGGGAAGGGGGGGGGGGGCGGGGCGCGCGGGGGCGCGAGGATTTCGCGGGGGAATGAGAGCGCTGAGCAGCGGGGGATCGGTTTGTGAGTGCGAAGGCGTCGGTCCGTCTGTATCTGTAGTTGTTTGCGTTTGTGTGTGTGCGTTTGTCTGGCAGGCAGGCGTGTGCGTGTGTGCGTGTGCGTGGCCGCGTCTGTGTGCGTGCGTGTGCGTGTTTGTGCGGGTGTGTCTTTGTCTGTGTCTGCGTTCGCGTCTGTGCGCGCGCGCGCGTGTGTGTGTGTTTTTGTTGGTGCGTGTGCGCGCTTGCGTGCGCGTGCGTGTGTGCGTGCGCGTGTGCGTGCGTGCGCGAGGGGGCGCCCGCGCGCGAGTGAGCGCGCGTGGTTGTGAGTGCGTGCGCGCGTGAGATTGTGTATGTATTCGCGCGCGCGCGCATGCGCGCGCGCGCGCTCGTGCCCAGTGCGTTGCCGCGCCTGCTGACGTCGATCGTTTTTTTCGCATATTTGTCCTTCTGTACATGTCTACATACATGTTCGCTGCCGCGGCAGCGTCGCTCTCGCGCGCTGAAAGACGAGCTAAAACTCATACATGTATGTGTCCATTTTATTATTGGAAATATTTTCACCGTGCGCACTCCAGAGATACGCGTGCACTTATGACACGGGGCTAGGAGCTCTACGAGGTCCCCGGCGGTAACCAGGTTCAAGCTCTACGAGGTTCCCGGCGGTAACCGGGTTGAGCAGGGCTTACCTCCTGCTTAGCAGGGCCTCACCGCTGGGGTCCCCCTCGTTTCGAGCTGCATAGTGCAGAGAGGTGTCCTTTTGTTCCTCTTACTGTACACGGTGCCTCAGTGTCGGTTTTGCCTGAGTGCCTTTGGATCGTGCGGACAGGGTGATCTGTCGGCGTTGAATTGATTAGTTGTTCTTGCGCGCCCCTTCCTTGTGCGGCATCATGACAGCGCAATTTTGTTCGATGAGTTCTGTTTCGACCAGTTGGAAAAGAAAAACACGGATAATCAAACTGGCGATTTGTAGACAAGCTGTATTTGATGTTATGCAGTTTAATGCTCGTGATCCATGTTTTGTGGCTGATCCGAATACTTTCCCCGCGTTTGGCTGGTTTGATAGCCTCGATGATTGCGCGCGAAACCCATGCCCGTTTCAGGGGAACTCGGAGGAGCAGGTCAGTATATTGTTGAGTTCCTTATCGGTGCCAACTGCTGGGCCAACTGATCGTGGAAAAGCTTTCTCGTCTCAATCGGTTGCGTTTTCTCCAGATGTGGTGCAGTCTCCAGATGGTGGGCTGCAGTCGAGACTGGGCTCTGTTTCTTTTGATCCTGGCGTTCAGAATGAGGGGACGTTTGAGGAGAAGGAGGGGATGAAGGATACGGAGGTTGCCAAAGTTGCTGCGAATCCGCATTGTGCAGAGATCCATACGGCCGCTTCAGGATCCCAGGATGTAGGGCCCAACCTTGATGCTGAAGAAGCGTCGCTTGCTTCTCAATCAAATGATGCTGTACTGCACTCAGTTCCTTTGGATTATTCTCTACACTCAGCTCCTTTGGATTATTCTCTGCACTCAGCTCCTCTGGATTATTCTCGAGTGCAAAGGGAAGGTGGAGGCCCCGAGGCGCTGCCGTTGGCATCCTCGAAAACCCACGGAGAGTGCGAAATCGACCAGCGTAAAGATAACTGTGCTTCTTCTTCCCGGCTCTGTTCAGATGAGTTGCAGAGCAATCGATCTGAGTGTCAAGCTGCCAGGGACTGGGCCCGTGCCAATGACGACGCAGTTGCTCTTTGGCGGGAATTCGAACGGCTCCCGAAAGAGGAGTTTTATGCTCGGATCGAGGCGCTCAAGGCATACAAACTTCGAATGGGAATTGAGAGTCCCGAGGAGGCGCCGAGTCCTGAGGAGGATGCTGGCCGTGGGAAAGGCCAGAGGCACCGCAGAAACAGGAGGCGGGCAAGGGCGAAGGCTCAGGCAGTTCTAACTGGCTCTTCTATGTCAAAGTCGGCCCATCCATCTACTTGCGATCCTCCCCAACCTCCGTCCTCTTTTCACGATTCAGTTTCTTCCGCTATACCCGCCCCAAGTGTGCCCTTGTTGCCCGAAGGCGACAAGGAGGCGGAGGTGGATGAGTTGCATAACAATCAATCAGAGTGCGATGAGGACGCTGATTCGGATGCGGCCTTCCACGCATGGGATAAAATGGCCACCCAGCGAGTGAGGGCAAATTTCTATTTGAAGAAGGCTGCTCTGCACCGTTTGTGTGAGGCTTTGCACCGTGATGGGGGGGGGGGGACGCGGACATCCAGAGAACCTGTGGGCTGTGTCGGTTGGACAAGATAAGGATGCACCGTATTGCAGGGTGGTGCTTCGGACATTGGCGAGCAGCTCTCTTATTTACATAAGATGCTCGTGCACCGTATTGCACGAAGCTATGTTCATACCTCTCTTATTGTATATGCGAGTACAACAAAAACTAGACGGCCTCCGTGGATTCTTCGACGGAGGGCGCTCTGTGGAGGAATGTGCCTCCATTGACGGCTCTGTATGGCCGTGGAACACGTTTTGGGTAGCCTCTTTCTTCTCTAACCTGTTCCTGCACCTTTGCAATTTCACATGTCGTGCTGCATCCTTTTCCTTGTTCCTGCATCCTATTCCGATGCCTATGCCTCAGTGGCTCGGCAGTGTGATGATAAGAGGTGCCTTCTCTAGCTACACTGTGCTCCGTTTGGGAGTCTTAGGGCTCAGCTGTCGCAGCTGTCCGCGCCCTGACTCAAACTCAAAAAACCAGGTTGAAGGGCTCTGCGAGGAGCTTGCGTATCGAGACGGGCCAGGAGGGGCTCAAGGCGGCCCCAAGATTGTCCAGGGGCGCTCCACGACGGTCTAAGAGACCCTTCATCATCTTCATCATCAGCGTCATCAGCATCGTCTTCACCACCACCGTCATGATCGTCGCACTTATCATTTCACTTCGTCTATCCCTCAGAGATCGGGGTTCATTGCATAGGGCGTTCAGAGGGGGTCCCTGGGGTCGGACGGGTGGCGACGCAGGATGGAGGATCAACTTGCAACCGGAGCGAGAATATTTAGATCAACTCGAAAATACAGCGAGGATTTGGATCACATCCCGGCGATCATGCACACGATAGGACACCATGACAATATAGACTATGTTATTTGAGTGTCAAACCAATGTGATAGCAGAGCTTTGAAATGGATCAAAAGCGGCACATCAACAACGCAACGAGCAACCCAATTAGCAGCACGACCAATAGCAACACCAACAACAACAGCACAAGCAGACCATATCCGCACCAACACATAAGCTTCCCATGATCTCAATTCACCAGTGCGCCCCAGAAATCAAACGGTTTCGCCGAATCGCACGCCCAGACTTGTCTCGTGGAGGCGGGCCCCGACGGGGGCAGGCGAGAGCAGTGTTTTGAAAAGAGGCCACAGGGATTCCAATTACGTACCACTATTTCTGTAGTTATTATGGTTGGCTTCCATGACATCGTTGCCATACATGACGTCGTCGTCGTCGTCCATAGCATCGTGCTCCTCGTCGCCGAACCTTTCAGAAGAGTCGCACGCACGGCGCGGTGGGCGGATAAAACGGGAGACGGGTAGGCTCGGAGAGGGGCAGGAAGTCTAAGAGAGAAACGCGGATGAGGGTGGAGGAGGGGCGAAACGAGGGGGGGGGGGGCGATCGAGAGAATGCGGGGGTCCTAACGGCGATGGAAATTATGATGTATACTATATGTGGTAACAGCTGCGGCCAATTTTTTGGGGGCAAGTGGTAACATGTGACACTCGAGCGACACATGGGCATTGCGTATTCAAGCCCGTCAACAACTGGGACAAATAACAGAAACATCAAACTTCAAGCAAACGCAATTCTTCCGTAGCCATTTTGGCTTACCAGCCGCACGTGGTGCGGATGGAGCTGGACGATGTGCTGCAATTCGGCCTACTGGACATCCCAGATATAGATATCGCTGTTGATGGCGCCGCAGCTCCTCCAGCTCCGCCCGAGAGAGATGTCGTGCCAGCTCCAGGTGCTGCACCAGGTGGGGCACCAGATGGCGCTGCTCCAGGTGCTGCACCAGCGCCTGAGGCGCCGCCTGCCATGGGTGCAGCGCCAGGTCATGAGGGCATAGATTATGTATTGGCTGCATTACCACCAGTGTTGAACCCGAGGAATGTTCGTTTTCAGTGGAGGTCGAAGAGTCACATCGAGCACGCACGGAGATTCTTGTCCAAGAACCGTTTCAATAAAATGAGAAAGCAACGAGACGACGAACGAGCTGAAAGCCGTCATACGCTGCAGGCCATTCGAACGATGATCCCCGATGCAGCCAAGATGCTTGGAGATCCCAAGACGAAGCAGCTCGGCAAGAGAAAGGCACCCGTCCTCCCAAGTGACATGACAATAGCTTGCCGCGTTGCTCATCTGCCTGCGCAGTCAAATCTCACCATAGGGGTCAAGCACAGACGGCTCATACTCGCAGCCACGAGGATTATTCATAGGAGGCAGGAGCAGAGTTTGCAGGCCATGCTGGAAAAATCGAAGGCAGCTTTGAAAGGAGTGCGCGATGAGAAGGGCCATCGGGGAGTTCACGTCTCTTACTGCCACTTGTGGGACGAGGTCGCTGCCAAATTCACATGGAAACCTACCAAAAAGTTCATGGGCAGCAGGGCCGTCGCCAAGCCGACGCTGGTCCAGAGGGGCTGCGTCACGTGGTGCTTGTTCGACACTCGGAGGTCCTTGGCACGAGGATTCAGAGAGTATTGGCTGGTGAGGCCGAGAGCGGTCGAGGGGGCATCAGCTCAATGCATGTACCCAGGAGTGCAGCAGGGGATTCCACGGAGATTTCGGATCGATGATGCTGCAGAGATGGCCGCTTTAAGCAATCAGGTGACATCATATACGTTCATGGCCATGGGCGACAAAGCAGGTTCCAACGTTGTAATGATGAAGAGCTGGGGGAAACAGCACGAGGAGCTGCCCAAGGCGCCCAATATTCTATATTGGCCTGATTGCTGTGGTATTCATATTCACCACAGGGCTAAACTACAGATCAAGGGTTGCCGTCAACATATCATGAGACACTACGGCATCGCTCAGATCCAGAAGCTGCAGACCACTGCGACTAGAATCACGAAGAGCATCGAGAAGTTAGTCAACCAGAAATGCAAGCGGCAAGTCGGCAGGTCCCCAGCCGGTGAGTATTCCTTCTTTCACTTGGTGGACACGATTTTCAATTTCAATGCCAAGCACCATGAACGTAAGACTGGCCACTCCAAGCAGTGGCGCGCCTTCCGACACCTGTGCGACGTTGTGAATGGCGACTGGCGCGAGGAGAAGTGGGTGCATTGGTGCCGCGACGATGCGACAGGGCAGCCATGCTGCAAGAGCGAGGCAGAGACAAAGGCGAAGGTCACGGCCGCCGTGACCGACGCACTGTGGGGGCGCCAGGACAAAGTGCCAGCAGAGAGCAGGTGGACCAACACCCTGCCCAATTTCAAACAGACGATCCTCAGGCGCATGATATACCGAGTTGGTCTGGATTGCTTTTGCAATGATTTCAAAGATGACGAAGGCGACGGCGAGCTTGGCGACAAAATGGGGGTAGACGGCGAGATCAGGGACGATTTTTTCGCGATGGTCAACCGCATCAGGTCAACAAAAATCAAAGAGTATTTCCAATCGGACGAGATGGTATGGCAGTTGGGAGTCTACGTCATTTTCCTCGATGCCGCTGATAGGCACTTGCTCTATCCATTGATGGAGGATCCGGTTCAAGATGACGCATCTCAGCCAAGCAAAATGGACAGGCTGCTTGATCCGCATGGCAGCAAGGTTGCCGACTGCTACCACTTCCTCGTGGATCTGCTGATGGTGTGGACAAACAGGGCAACGGCGCATCACCCATGGACAGTTGTGGAAGCTACGGGGGCGCCGATGGACTCGGAGCCCTTCCAGAGGTGGACGAGAAGCCAGATCCTTCGTCTGTCGAGTGCGCTTTACAGGCGGTACGAGCTCCGCCTGTCATCATGGCCGTACAAGTTGTATGCCTTTGTGAATGAGAAGTATACTGAGGACCACAAAACGAACATCGCGAATGAGCTTCTCAATGCTGACAACGACGTGCTCGACGTCTACAGTCGCGGTGTCCGTCGCCTGTACCCAAGTCTATCAGGCCTGCTGTCATTCGACTGCTACGCAATGCTGCTCAGCGACTTCAGATCCCACCCGTACGGCATCGACTTCGTGGAGAGGCTCAACAAACAAGTGACGCATAGGGCTACACGGCAGGGTACGAGAGGTAAGAATATGTCCTACGCTTCCAGGGAAGACCTCATGATGCAAGCGGCTGTGACTCATGTTCACCGCGGCGGCTTGCACCCTCTTAAGCCCACTTGCATGGGGAGTTCGGGGAGCCATGAAACGTTGCGTTACAACCCATTGCTGGTGAATCAGATCGCACGCATCCCAGATCATGCAGCGGCGGCTTCGGTGCCGATTTCTTCGGCCCCGGGCAATGGCGAGGTCGATGCGGTGGTGGAGTGGTCAGGCGACGCATTCACAGACGACGGCATCGTGGCGCAGCGGGAGGTTCAAGATTGCGCGCTGCAGTTGCAACCGCGCACCCAGCCCAACGCAGTGCGCACGCGCGTCGGTGTGAGTGTGTTTCTGCTCGAGCGCAACAAGTGGATGAACGCGGCGAGGGAGTTCAAGGGGAAACCTTTGACAGAGGGGGAGGTCAAGCACCAGCATGAGGAGTTCCGCAAGATGTGGGACGCCATGACTTCTGATGAGTATGATGTCTTTAAGGAGGCGTATGACCTGTGGAGGCATTCCCCGCAGAGCTCCACGGCCGCGGCACTGCCAGAATATCAGCCGATGTGGGGCGGGGGGTGCCAGAGCACGCCCATCTCGCCACAGGAGTTTGCTGACTACGTGAACGAGCATGGCTGGCC